GGAGTTAATGTGAGTACCTCCCCCTTCCTGTGGCCTCGGAGAGTGGGTATCGAGCTTGGAGTCTAAGCTTGTCCCCCGCCCGGGGCCATTCCATTCCAACAGGACGCAGAGGACACCTGTGAACTGAACGAAGGGGAGCTGGGGTGGGGGCCACATTGGATAACTAGGAAGAAGGTGCCCATAACTATTTGTGTCGCTCTGATCCCCACCCGCCCCCCCTCTGCTCCCCAGGAAGCAGACTGAGCAGGAGCTAAGGGAGGACTTCCCAGTAGGAAACCTTACAAACCTTCGCCCCAAACTTCGATGCACAGCTAATGTCGGGGAAAGAGAGAAATGGAATGTGTAGCTAGAGCGTGGCCTCACCAGTTGGCCTCCCTTCTCCCCTCTCTCCTTGGGCATTTGACCTTCAGCTGCATCGGAGAATCAAGCAAACATTAGGGGTCTGAGGGCCCCTGAGGACGCGAACACTGATTCCTTGTGTTGCAGATGTTGCAAAAGCCCCATGGAAAGCTCAAGCCCCCAGATAATAAAGGGGCGCAGGGGGCTCGGCAGCCACTGCTACCGACCAGGTGGCTCTAACGGGGTGATCTCTGGTGAAGGGGCTCCTTGACCGCGCTTTTACCGGCGGCTGAGAATTCCCGTTTCTGTCCATTTGCCTCTAGCCAAGTGGGAGACTCGCTTCGACCCCCAAAGCACCCTCAAGCAGGACTTCCACGTGACCCCCGAGACAGTGGTGCAGGTGCCCATGATGAAGCGCGAGGACGAGTATGACTACCTCCTGGACCGGAGACTCTCCTGCAGGGTCGTGGGGCTCCCCTACCAGGGCAATGCCACGGCCCTCTTCATTCTCCCCAGCGAGGGCCGGATGCATAAGGCGGAGGCCGGCCTGGACCAGGAGACCCTGACCAAGTGGTTCAAAAAGTTCACAAAGAGGTATCTTCAGACGGCACTGGGCCAGCCTAGCCCTGCTCCCCACCAGGGAGACCGTGTCCCCTGGGGCCACCACCAGGGGGCGAAGGACTCACCCAGCCCAGGAGCTGCCTCTGAGCCCAGAGGCATCAGGGGAGTCCCGGCCCCGGGGCCTAGCGGGGATGCAGGGTTGGGGCTGGACGCCTGCTTTCCTGGCGGTGCCGTCGGAGTGGGCAGTGAGCTCCGGGCTGTCCAGTCCGAGTCCAGAGCGGCACGGACTCTCCCTAGGCCAGGGGCTGAGGGTCATGTGGAGCTGCGGGGAGATGGTGGGGATGGGAGCTGAGACCCGGTGCTCTGGAAGAGTCTAGAAAGGTCCTCTTCTCTTTCCAGGAAGCTCCAGCTTTACCTTCCCAAGTTCTCCATCGAGGGCTCCTACCAGCTGGAGAAGATCCTCCCCAAGCTGGGCATCCGGGACCTCTTCACCTCCCACGCCGACCTAGGAGGGCTCACCAACCACTCCAACATCCAGGTGTCTGAGGTGAGCAGGGGGTCCTAGCATCTGCTTCCAGAGACATTCTATTCTTTCTGTTCTGTTCTATTCTATTCTATTCTATTCTATTCTATTCTATTCTATTCTATTCTACTGGTATTCTATTCCTATTCTGTTCTATTCTGTTCTATTCTATTCTATTCTATTCTACTGGTATTCTATTCCTATTCTGTTCTGTTCTATTCTATTCTATTTTACTGGTATTCTATTCCTATTCTGTTCTATTCTTTTTGTTCTATTGTACCTTATTCTACTCTGCTTCTATTCTATTCTATTCTATTCTATTCTATTCTATTCTATTCTATTCTATTCTATTCTATTCTATTCTATTCTATTCCATCTCATCCCATTCCATCCCATCCTATTCCCTTCCACTCCACATTCCGTATTCTTTCTCTCTCCTCTTTTTCTTCAAGAAGCCAAGTTTCAGTGTCTCATACCCTCCGTGCAATGAGAAGCCACACCCAGCACTGCCTCGGGGGAAGGAGCCCTGGATTAAACCATCAAAACTCAAAACCAGGTGGCAACTCCTCCCCTCATTAGCTGTGTGGCCTCCAACGATGACCTGACCTCGCCGAGCCCCCTTTCCCTCTCTGAAGTCGGAGCGTCCACCCCCCCCCCCCCCCCGAGACGCCGGGAGAATTCGCTGAAACACGCGAGTGCACCTAGGCCTGGCGCACAGCGGCTGCGCCATCGCGTCGCTTCCCACCTGCTCTCAGGCTCGGTTGTGCGGAGCCTCGGACAGGGACGCCACGGGCGGCGCTTTGCCCTCGGGCCGGCCTCTCCCAGCCCCATGAGCTGGTGTGTGTTGTCTCCCTGCAGATGGTGCACAAAGCCGTGGTGGAGGTGGACGAGTCGGGGACCCAAGCGGCTGCAGCCACGGGCATGGTGTTGGGGTTCCGGTCGGCTCGAATGGGCGCTCAGGTGGTGGTGTTCAACAGGCCGTTCCTGATGGCGATCGTGAACCCGGAGGGCGTCCTCTTCCTCGGCAAGGTGGCCCGCCCCGCGGAGGGGCACTTCTGAGCCGCGGCCTCCCCAGCGGAGATGCGGGCACTCTGCGGCCATCGTCTGCGGAGACCTAGTGAGACGCGCAGGCTTAGTGACGAGTGAGACTTTAGCGAGTAACAGTAGCAGCACCGACCACCAGGATGGCTTCCTCCCACACCAGGCGAGGCCAGGCGCCTGGGAGAGGCCAGAGGACACGCGGTCACGCCCTCACCGCTCACCAGTGGCGATTCGCACTGAGGCCCCGAGAGCTGGATCGACTTGTCCAAGGCCACATGGCAGGTCAGAAGCCCAGGACCCGGCCCCTGATTCCCAGCCCAGCGCCACCGGCTCCCCAGGAAGGTGGTTCCAGTAGACATTCCGCCAGGAAGCATGTGTCCAAGCCCCGCCCCCCTTCCCCGTCAGCAACACCAGCCGTCAATTCTGATGGTTGAGTGGGGGCACCCGAGTGGAGTCTGCCGTGGGCGCTGTCCCGGCTCACCGGCTGTGTGACGTTGGCTCATGCCTTCCCCCTCTGGACTCTGGTTTCTCCACGGATGCACTGAGGGCTCAGGCCAAGGATAGAAGGTTCCTGAAATCAGGTAAAAAGCCTGGAGTGTCACCTGCCAGTCACAGCTGATATCACCGCTCATCCTCTGAGAAAAGCGAGGGGACCGCGGGGTGGAAATGGCCCGCCCGGGGCGTACCATCCTGCGGGGGAAGTTACAGTCCCGTGGGCGTGGCTGGCGGCGGGAGCATGGAGGCCGGGTGCCAACAGCGGCTGTTGTTTGGAGACACTGCTGACTGGGTGTGGACTGTAGTGCCAGGCAGAGCAATAAAGCATTTGCAGACACCGGTGTCTTGTCCTGCGGAAGCAGCTCTGGGAATGGTGGCAGAACCAGCTCGTCTGGTGAGGTGCTAGCCTCCCTTCACAACATCCCCTACGAAGGGCGTATTATCCCCATTTTACAGACGGGGATGGCGAGGCTTGCCGAGAGCGGGGGCTTACCCAGCACACAGCTCCTAGCGGGTGGCGGCGGGGTCTGCCTGAGTCGTGGCCCCGGCCTCACCGTCAGCGCTGCGCTCCATGTAGAGCAGATGTGAGCGGGAAGCAGAAGCCCGAGTCAGGCGCACCTGGGCCATGAGCTCCCCCATGACCCAGACAGCCACACTCTCCTTTACAAAACCCACCCATTTCCCTGTCCATCGCCTTAAAGGGCCCGTGGATGAATAAACAAACGCTCATTTGCTCAGTCTCACACCGTCCCCTGCACTCGCTGCCCCCTGCTCTGCCCCAGAGTCTGCGCACCCTGCCCTGCAGGCATGCCCCGGGCTGACCCCGGGTCTGGACTGCATCACAGAAGGGTGCCCCTTAGAACTAGCGAAGTTGGAACCCCATGCTTTGACCATTCCCCACAGCCCTAAGCACCTACTCTTGCCAGCCAGAGGGGACACTGTATCTGTGATCGACCTCATTAATCCCCGACCAAGCCAGCCGGCTTGTACCCATTTCACAGAGGGGAACCTAATGCTTGCCCAGAGCCCGCAGCTGATGACAGTGCGAGGCCCCGGCTCTGCGACCCAGATGGCACGTGCTGGCTGGTGGCAGGGCAGATGGCTGCACCCCAACCAGACAGCTTGTCTGCATCTGTGATTCGAGCTCAGGACTGGGCCTCCTCGCGGGGCCAGAGCCGCCCCTGTGTGCGTTTCCCTTGCGAAATGCCTCATCTGCTTCGGCAAACATTTCTCCGTTGTTGACCCAGCCAGTCCAAGGTCGGGAGGCTCTGCCCTGTGGCATGTGGAAGCCAAGGCCCAGCTCTGTCTAACGTTTCCTGGGCAAATGGTGGCAAAGCAGCCACTGTGTGCGCGACTGGGGTGGGTGGGCTCTGGGTGCCAATGCGGGAGCCCAGGCTGCGTGGCACACCCTCCAGTGCCCCCTGGGGGTCCTGGCGGGCTGTGTAACTCCATTGTCACATGATTCTGGGGTGAACAAAATCATATAGCAGCCCAGAGAGAAAGACAGAGAGGCAGAGAGAGACGGAAAGAACTTCTGGGGTTCGGGAAAACGTTGGCGGAAGAGGTGGCAGGAGCTGCCCTGAAGAATACGTGGGACCTGGACAGACAGTTTGGGAGCAGGAAGGGGCTTCGAGGCCCAGGGAACGGTGGCTGGAGAAGAGCATGACGCTGAGGGGCTGCGGAGTGAACCGGAAACCCACACCTCCCTCTGGACCCGAGTGGGGGAAGGAGGGACCCTGCCTGCAGCCCAGCCACAGGGACCTGAGCACACCTGGTGGCGGGTCTGTGCCTGACTTCAGAGTAGTGCAGCTGTCATGCCACACCCCGAGCACCCCCGGGCCCCTTCTGGGCCCTCACGGTCCCTTCTGCACATCAGTAGACGAATCCACTCACCCTCTAAGGGGCGCCCCCTCCACGACTCCTAAGGGGTGGGTGCCCCTTTGCTTCAATGCCCCGCTGGCCGTGCCCCTGATGGACCTCGTGGTCCCACCTGGGGCAAAGGTGCTGGGTCTGTAGGTGGCTGTCCCCCTCGGGCCCTCTGTCTTAGCCACTGATAGTGGTTTCCGAGGGCTGTCATGACAAAGTGGCCCAGACCGGGCGGCTTAGCAGCAGACATGGGTCAGTGGCAGCTCCTCAGTTCATCTTTTTGAGGAAACTCCATACTGTTTCCCACAGCGGCCGCCCCAGCCTGCATTCCCACCAGCAGTGCACGAGGGTTCCCTTTTCTCCGCGTCCTCGCCAGCACTTGTCGTTTGTTGATTTGTTGTTGGTGGCCATTCTGACAGGTGTGAGGTGGTACCTCATTGTCATTTTAATATGCATTTCTGGGATGATCAGTGACTTTGAGCTTTTGTTCATACATCTCTTGGCCATCTGTATGTCTGCTTTGGAGAAGTGTCTAGGTCCTTTGCCCATTTTTTAATTGGGTTGTTTGTCTTCCTTTTATTAAGTTGTATGAGTTCCTTATATATTTTGGATATTAACCCTTTATCAGATGTATCGTTGCCAAATATGTTCTCCCATACGGTGGGCTCCCTTTTTGTTTTGTTGATGGTTTCCTTTGCTGTGCAGAAGCTTTTTATTTTGATGTGGTCCCATTTGTTTATTTTCTCCTTAGTTTCCTTTGTCCTAGGAGATGTATCCATAAACATATTGCTACAAGAGATATCTGAGATTTTGCTGTCTATGGTTTCTTGTAGGATTTTTATGGTTTCACGACTTACATTTAAGTCTTTTACCCATTTTTAGTTTATTTTTTTGTATAAACTCATTTTTTGCATATATCTGTCCAATTTTCCCAACACCATTTACTGAAGAGACTGTCTTTACTCCATTGTATATTTTTACCTCCTTTGTCAGATATTAATTGAGCATAATGGCTTGGGTCAATTTCTGGGGTCTCTATTCCATTGACCTATATGCCTGTTCTTGTGCCAGTACCAGGCTGTTTTGATTACAGTGGATTTGTAGTACAACTTGATATCTGGTATTGTGATTCCTCCAACTTTGTTCTTCTTTTTCGAGATTGCTGGGGCTACTCGAGGTCTTTTTTGGTTCCATATATATTTTTGGAGTATTCTAGATCTGTGAAATATGCTGTTGGTATCTTAATGGGGATTGCATTGAATCTGTAGATTGCTTTGGGTAGTATGGACATTTTAGTGATATTGATTCTACAAATCCATGAACAAGGTATATTGTCCCACTTGTTTATATCTTCCTCTATTTCTTTTTTCAACATCCTGTAGTTTTCCAAGTCTTTTACCTCCTTGGTTGAGTTTATTCCCTAAGTATCTTAATTTTTTTGGTGCAGTGGTAAATGGGATTGTTTGTTTCGTTTCTCTTTCTGAGGGTTCATTACTGGTGTATAAAAATGCCATTGATTTATGGGTGTTAATTTCGTATCCTGCTACATTGCCAAATTCATTTATTAAATATAGTAGTTTTTTGGTGGAGTCTTTAGGGTTTTTTATGTACAATATCATGTCATCTGCGAATAATGAGAGTTTTATTTCCCCCTTTCCAATTTGGATGCCTTTTATTTCTTCTTCTTGTCTGATCACTGTGACTAGGACTTCCAGTACTATCTTGAATAAGAGTGGTGAAAGTGGGCATCCCTGTCTTGTTCCTGTTCTTAGAGGAAAAGTTTTTAGTTTTTGCCCATTGAGTATGCTGTTGGCTATAGGTTTGTCATATATGACCTTTATCATGTTGAGATAGGCTCCCTCTATTCCCACTTTGCTGAGAGTTTTTATCAAAAATGGGTGTTGGATTTTGTTGAATGCTTTTTCTGTGTCTATTGATATGATCATGTGATTTTTGTCTTTTGATTTGTTTATGTGATGTATCACATTTATTGATTTGCGAATATTGTACCATCCTTGCATCCCTTGAATAAATCCCACTTGGTCATGGTGTATGATCTTTTTAATATATTGCTGGATGAGATTTGCTAATATTTTGTTGAGGATTTTAGCATCTATGTTCATCAGGGATATTGGCCTGTAATTCTCTTTCTTTGTAGTGTCTTTATCTGGTTTTGCAATTAGGATAATGCTGGCCTCATAAAAAGAGCTTGAAGTATTCCTTCCTCTTGGATTTTTTGGAATAGTCTGAGGAGTATAGATGTTGGTTCTTCTTTGGATGTTTGGTAAAACTCCCTTGTGAAGCCGTCCAGACTCCGGCTTTTGTTTCTAGGATTGTTTTTTATTGCTGCTTCTATGTCATCAGTTGTTATTGGCCTATTCAGGTTTCCTGATTCTTCCTGATTCTGTTTTGACAGATTGTATTTTTCTAGGAATTTGTCCATTTCATCCACATTGTCCAGTTTGTTGGCACATAGTTGTTCATAGTATTTACTATATATCTTCTCATTGTTATTCTGAACTCTATGTCAGATAAATTTCTCATCTCCATTTCATTTTCCTCTTCTTCTGGAGAGCTCTCTTATTCTTTCATTTGGGGGTTGTTGTTTTTTTGTCTCCCCATTTTGGTGGCCTGTTTGTGTTTGTGTTTATGTATTAGGTAGATCTGCTAAAACTCCCAATCTCTAGTGCAGGACAATATCTAACGCTGTTTCTGATTGGCCCTGAGTACGCTGTTTGGGGCTATCAGTAGTCCACAGCTTGTGGCTCCCTCTGCTGGGGCTGGGTGCCCTTGGAAGGGACCAGGATGTGCACCAGGGTCTAACCCCAGCCCCAGAAGGAGATCAGGCAAAGACATGTAGCCTCCCGACCTTCAGCTGCTGTCTGTGGGAGCCGGGCCACCCCTTTTGTATCTCCGCACTTCCTACCAGTCTCCATGCAGTCTCCACTTTCTGTCCTGGTTATAAGGGTTCTCTCCAGCTGGTTTTCAGTTGAGTTTTCATGGTGTTTTTCTGTATCTTAGTTGTATTTCCAGTTTGGTCCTAGGAGAGTGTCAGTATAGCTTCCACTTACTCCGCTGCCATTTTTAATCAGTGGCTAGATTTTTTAAAAACTTTTTCAAATCAGCTGACATTCTAATGGGTACTCCCCTGTAGGTAATTTTCTGTCTCTCTCTTGCTTCCTTTAAGGTTCTTATTTTGTCTTCAATGTTTGTCATTTTGATTATGATGTGTCTTGGAGTTGGTCTCTTTAGGCTCATCATGATTGGAATTCTCTGTGCTTCCTGAACTTGTGTTACTTTTGCCTTCACCAGGTCAGGCAAATTTTCTGTCATTATTTCTTTAAACAGGTTCTCTATTCCCTGCTCACATTCCTCTTCCTCTAGTACTCCTATAATGTAGATGTTGTTATATTTCATGGTGTCCCAAAGTTCCCTAAACTATCCTCCTGATATTTAATTCTTTTTTTCTTT